TGAGAAATAAATCCTTTCAGAGCAAGGACCTGGCCATGTCTCTATATTTCCAGTGCTGATGGTCTTATAAATAGGATAAAACTGTAGATCTGGAAGTTCATCTAGCCCTACTGATGAAGACACCGAGGCCTGGGGTGTTGTTCAGACCCACTTAGTAGAAAACCATAGCCACAGCCAAATATTTGCTAATACTTATAATTGGAGGGCTTGGCTAATACAGAATGGCGAGATTCACCAGGGGGGAATGAGGGCATTCTCTGAACAAAGGAGGGCCAGTAGAAATAGTCCATGCATGACTGGACAAGGGCTGGATTGAGATGGAAATAGTCAAACTGTAAAGGAAGGAATCAATGCAAAAGGAAAAATGTACAGGTCTTGGTAACACACTAGATACGAATTTTTGGCAAATTTGGGAATAGGTGATTCAAGCTGCCCACTGGGGCACGTGTAGCACTGCTCGAGGGCAGGGCTGTGCTTCTGTGCAACCCGCAAGCTCTCCAAAATGGTTGGACGTTCAATAACGTTTCTTACGTGCAGTGACTTCCTAGCCTTACTACATTCTTCTTTGTGTGCATGTCGCTGGTAGAAAGTGAAGTAGGTTGGTTGCCCTTTTGGCGCCTTGAGGGCACAGGCCCAGAAGAGGACCTACTGCCCGGTGGTGAGGGCTGGCCAAGGGCTCTCTCCTCCGTGAGGCCAGCCAGGACCCACCCCTGACAGGAATCCGTGGGCTAGGCAGCCGCTCGGGCCTTGGCCACGATCCCGGGAAAGAAGAGTAAGGGGCTTTCCACCTGCCCCTGGCCTAACCCGGGACGGGCGGCCTCTCGAGTTCCAGCCGCTGGCGCCCCGCCTCCTGCGCCCGCCGCCTCCCCCCCGCGTCCAGGGTGCCCGCCCCTCCCCTCACGCTCGACGGGCTCGCTCCCGCCCGGGGCGCGCGGACGGCGCGCGAGCTCGCGGAGGCGGAAGGCCGGAGGCGTACCCGGCCGCGGGGGCGAGCGCGCAGGCGCCTTCCAGGGACCCGCTGCGGGCGCGAATCCCAGCGGCCGGTGAGCGGCGGGTTAAGAGCTCGGGATTCCGGGGCTTCTGGACGCCCGGCGGTGTGGGGAGGCGCTGGGGCCTCGCGCCGCGCCGCCAGCCGGCGCAGAGCCGGCCGCCCGGATCCCGGCTCCGCCCCATTCCCAGGGACGCGGCGCGAGGCCTCCTCAGCACCGGCCGCAGGGTCGCCTGGGGGTCGGGCGGCTGAAGGGATGACGGGGTCGTGGTGGCACCTCCTGGCTGGCGTGCTCCCTGCGGTTCTAGGGATCTGGCCCCCTGGAGAAAGGAAGGAGAAACGTCGGGAGGGATCTGTTGCCAGATCTGCTCCGCTGGGATAGCTGCCCTCCCCGGGTGTCGTGTCCACTGTGTGTGTGTGTGTGGGGGAAAGGACCTTTCAGACTGAAAGGAACAAATTTGGCTCTGGGACGTGGACGGCGGAATTTTCGGTTTTCGAGATGCACCCTCAGGGCAAAGTAGCACTGAAAGCTCCTCTGCCACCTGCATGGCAACTTCATGGCGTGTGGATGGGTTAGAACGTTGCCGTATTTTGATTTACAGGTGGAAAAAGTCATAAAGGACCCTTTTAACCATAAAGGACTGTTTAAAGAGAAGAGAGCTGTTAAAAGCCTCACATTATATCTTTAACCACACAGGACTCAGGAAGATTAGGTACCTCCCCTCTTCTCTCTTACACACACGCACTCCTACCTTCACACCTTCATTCAGCAAATACTTCGTGGGTACTTGCCTTCTGCAGACACTGTTCTAAGAGAGGGGAACAGAGCGATGGCTAAGACAGGAGAATCCGTGCTCACATGAGCTTTTATTCCAGTTGACACATATATATAATTTCCTTTTATACTTTTTAATTGGAATATAGCATACGTACAGAAAAATAGTGTACACAAATCATAACTTATTATCACAAATCACCTTACCACAAAGTAAACACATCTTTTATTTTTTATTTTATTTTATTTTGAGAGTCTCACTTTTGTTGCCCGGGCTAGAGTGCCATGGCATCAGCTTAGCTCACAGCAACCTCAAATTCCTGGGCTCAAGCTATCCTCCTGCCGCAGCTCCATAGTCCAGTACTGGACTACAGGCTGACCACCTATGCGCGGCTACATTTTCATTAATACTAAAAAATTACCTAATGTCTTAGTTGGCTAATTAAATCTTTTCTATTCATTTCTATCGCAGAAGACTGGCGTCCTCGGGGTCTCGCTCTGTGCTCCAGGCTGGTTTTGAACTCCTGACTCTGAGCAGTCACCGGCCTCGCCTCCAGAATGCTAGGATTAAGGTGTGAGCCACCAGAATGCTAGGATTACAGGTGTGAGCCCACCGGCTGGTCTAAACACATCTTTTAATCACCATTCAAGGAAACAAAACATTTACAGTATCTCAGAAGACCTCTCTGGGGACCCCTCCCAATCACCAGCCTTCTTTCCTCCCAAAGGGAACCTCTTTCCTGATTTCTAACACATTGAGTAGTTCTTCCTACTTACGACCTTCTGAGTTCTTCCTACTCATGGAACCATATGTATGTACGTATATTTCTGTATTGTCCAGCTTTTTTTTTACTGAGAATTAGGTGTGTGAGATTGTTCTGTGTCATGTGAAAATACAATTTTTGATAGTGAAAAGAATTAAGAAGAAAATTAAAGAAGGTAATGGTGCAAACAGTGAGGAAGGAAATAAATAGGGTGGTCAGGGATAATCTTCCAAAGGGATGACTTGAGATGAAACGTGAATGGGAAAGATTAGCCACAAGTAAGCTCGCATGAGTAACGAGCATTCCATGCAGAGGGAACAGACTGGAAGGAAGTGAGGTATCAATGAATTTGACAGGTTCTGGGAAGAGAAGGAAGACCTTGTGGGAAAGTGGGATGAAGTTGGCAGGCCAAGGGTCAGATCTTAGAGAGTCTTGTGCAGGGGAGATTATTTTATTCTAAGTATTATTCATGTAAATGGAGATATTTTGATGTCATTCTGCTTCCAGCATGAGCCATTATGGAGGATAGAGGTTTATCATTTTACTCATCAAGGAAGCCCTACAAAAGTGGCAAAACTAAGTAGCCATTGGGAATTAGGGGAAACATTAACATGTTGAAGCGAACCCAGTCATGATTATGTTAATTCAACACATAATTTGCTTCTAAAATCAGATTTAGAAGATATTTTAGAAATTAATATCTATTCTAACATTCTAAAAATATCCTGTCTCCAAGTAGTCACTCAGTTTCTGTTTGGATCTGTTAATAAGGAACTCCTTTTTCAATAAGTCTTTTGGTTTTGGACAGCTCGAATTTAGAAAAGTTTCTAAATATTTAATCAAATACTCGCTCACATGGTCATCACTTTTGCAGTCACCACAGAACTGATATTATCATTTATCTGTTGCTTCCTATTTGCATTCATCGCAGTTGATTTTTGTTTTGTGTGGAGGGGTTTTTTTTCTCAATTGAGCGCACGGACTTTGAATTTATCTTTGTTGTGATTTCTGGAGTTAGACATGGTCGGTCCGTAGATGCTGTCCAAATCTCTTTGGACCTGATCCCTTCATCCATCAGTTAGTGATTCCTTCTGCCATTGTGCTCTTAGCAAACTGGATCAGCATGATGTCAGTTAAGCATTATGTTCTTTATAACTTCATTAGGTCTATTAAGTGCTATTGGTAGTCTTATTTTTGCTACTTAAGGTTACTGGGGAAGTACTTAAAAATGTTTATTTGAACTGTGGATAGTTGACTTAAGTTGGTCACAGTAGTGATTTAAATTTCCCAGATAGAATATTAGTTAAGCTATATTTTTAGTTCCGGGAATTAGCATTTATGTAATAGATTTTAAACATGATGTCTTAGCAGAAAATAGTGTTATATTGTAATTCTGAAATACATGGTGCAACATGTTGATAAAAGGGGCTTTTCAAATTAGGATAAAAAAGAATGTGAATAGTTTATAATGGCCTGTAACCCGTGTAAAAGTCAGAATCGACATCAGAAAGTGATTTAATTTTAATTTTTCCTCTTTTCTTGCCTCTGTGGTAGAAGTTCCAGTGAATAATGAAGTAGTCAAAGGTGAATGCAGGCTGGGCATAGTGGCTTTCACACCTCTTATCCTAGCACTTTGGGAGAGGCAGGAAGATTGCTTGAGACCAGGAGTTTGAGACCAGCCTGGGCAACATAGTGAGACCTTTATCTACCAAAAAAAAGTTAAAAAAAAATTAGGTGGGCATGGTGGTGCAGCACTTGTAGTCCCAGCTACTTGGGAGGCTGAGGCAGGAGGATCACTCCTGAGCCCACCCAGGAGTTCAGACTAAAGTGAGCTATGTTGACTCGACTGCACTGCCTGGGTGACAGATCAAGACTCTGTCTTAAAAAAAAAAAAAAAAAAAGAGCTATGTTGACTCGACTGCACTGCCTGGGTGACAGATCAAGACTCTGTCTTAAAAAAAAAAAAAGAAAGAAAGAAAGAAAAAAAGTGAATTCAGTAGGAGGGAGGAAAGAGAAAGGGAATTTATATAATCTAAATTTGAATATTATAGTTACATAGCCTTATTAAATGCTTTGAATTGTCCTACCTGATTGAGGCGCTAGGCTTCATTGGTTTTGGAGTTGTCCATTGATGTTTTTATTTTAAGTAAGAAAATACTTTTAGCCCAGTAGGTGGCATGTACTGATTATACACTAATATTTTCAGTTGATATATTATATTTTTCTGAATATATTTAAAATATATCCTGTGGTTAAAACAGTCTATCACTTGCAATGATGTTGTAATTTGTGTCTTGCTCTGTTCTCAGCAACAGTTGCCTGCTATAAAGAAGGTTGACAAAAATTCTTACTGAGCAAGACATAACCTTTTTTAATTCCTAAAACTTGAGAAATGTGATTCCTAACTGAGGAAATAGGAAAAAACATTCATCATTTTTCAAAGGGAAGAGGAAGAAGTTAATTTGCTTTCTTCTTTTAAACTCCAACCGAAGGGAAAAAGTGAAAAAGAATGTAAGTGGTTAATTAAGTTTTACTGCTTTTGTATTTTCTCCTCAGATTTCGGGATATTCTTACTATTTCTTGCAAAGGTTCATTTCTCTAAAATGGAAAGTTGGTGTGGTTAGTGCAAATATATTTTAGAAGAAAGGAAGTCAAAACCTAGCTACAGAAATTACTTTAGTGGAAGACTTTCCCAAACTATATATGAAGACAAAATTCCTCTTTCTCTCTGTACCAAAGATAAATCACCCCTTTGTCTACCTTTGTGGACTTATATCTACCTGTAGGTAAACATATTCTACATAGAACTGCTGGTGCCATTATCTACATATATCTGTTGGTTTTCTTCTCTCAGAAATATTCTCTTGTGAGAGCAAATCTTTACTGTATCTTTAGACATACTGAGTCCCATTTAACAGGGAGAGTTAACTTTTTGAGGTATATTTCTCAATTAAGGACTAGGGAATAAGGAACTTCAAACTGCTCCCTTCCCTTCATCTCTCAAATTACCACCACCTTCTAATTCTCTATCCAGAAACTTGATTTAATAGGTTCATTGTTGTAGGTACTGTGTTTAGCTAAATCTTGTATCTTTTTTTCCCTCTAGGCTACTTCTACATAGACATAATCAGTGTTGACTATTTGGAATTGAAGCATCATTAAAATCTTCTCAAACTTCTCATTCCAAAGAAGTGATAACATTTTTCTGAACAAGAAAAGAAGTGACTGACTACGTGTTAAAAGTATTCTGGCAGTGGTCCTGTTTTTTTCCCCCGCTCTAAATTTGAAGAACTATGGAGAAGTGGTACTTGATGACAGTCGTGGTCTTAATAGGACTAACAGTACGGTGGACAGTTTCTCTTAATTCTTATTCAGGTAAAACATTTTACTGTTTAAAAGAAAGGTAAAGCGGCTGGGCCCAGTGGCTCACTCCTGTAATCCTAGCACTCTGGGAGGCCGAGGCGGGCGGATTGCTCGAGGTCAAGAGTTTGAAACCAGCCTGAGCAAGAGCGAGACCCTGACTCTCCTATAAATAGAAAGAAATTAATTGGCCAACTAATATATATACAAAAAATTATCCAGGCATGGTGGCGCATGCCTGTAGTCCCAGCTACTTGGGAGGCTGAGGCAGGAAGATCTTTTGAGCCCAGGAGTTTGAGGTTGCTGTGAGCTAGGCTGACGCCACAGCACTCACTCTAGCCTGGGCAACAAAGCGAGACTCTGTCTCAAAAAATAAATAAATAAATAAAAATAAAAAAATAAAAGAAAGGTAAATATTCCTTTGAATGGATGTTTGTTTGTTTTCGGAACAAGTTACAGTTTTCTGACCAGGATAGAGATGAAAGAGAAGAATTTCAGGCTTTATTGGCATATGACAGACCATACATTTGGCCAGGCGAGGTGGCGCATGACTCTAGTCCCTAGCACTCAGGGAGGCCAAGGCAGGAGGATTGCTTGAGCCCAGGAGTTTGAGGTTGCTGTGAGCTAGGCTGATGTTCTTCTGAGTATCCACCCATCTTTGGAGATAATGGTGCTTCTTTCTTCTGGGTACAGGGTGGGCAGCTCTTACATGAGGGTCTTATGATCTGCTTCGGGGGAAAGTCAGTCTTTCTTGTATCTGTTGTTTCTCAAATTCCTTAACCTTAAAATATTCAATATGCCAAAGTGCCATACTTTGTAGTAGCCTGGCCTAAACCCCATCACACTCAATTGTGGAAGCTAAGGCTAGCTTGCTTAGTATTCCTTCTTTGTAAATGTGTACATTATTTAGGCAGACTAGACTACTTATGTATATTATTTGAATTTAAATTTTTCTAAAATTTCTATCCCTTACATTTTTAGAGCTGCTTATTATGTAAATTAATTTACACAAGCCTAAAAATATTGAATAAATGCTGTTTGTTACTTTTAAATAATCCATGGGGAGTAGACAAATTTTGATTTTAGTATTGATTGATTATCATTTTCTTGCAGAGATTCACAGTTCCTCTGTACTTGATGCAATGTGTTACCAATGTTTTTAGAGCAAATAGCAACATTTGAGCTGAAGAAGATTATTTTATTTTAATGACCTTTTTCTCCCTAAGCTACATGGGCTGTTTAGGAGGAGAAAGTCATAGAGAATTGGTTTTTGCAAGATATCACTCATTGTTAAAGTATGACTGTGTTCTATTTAATCAGTTAGTTTCTCTCAACTTACCCATTGCTATGGAATGTATAAGAGGAAGATTTTATTATAGAAAATTTTAACCAGATTTTTTAATGATGTTTAAAATGTCAATGTAAAGACAGTATGTATTGTTAACAATGAAACTACTTGCTTTTTAAATTCAAACATAATTCTGAATAATTCAGCAATTAATAAAATGAACATTTAAGTGGTGCTTAAGCCCATTTTCCTGAGAATGAGACAAAATTGAAGCTCTATAAATATACATTAGAGTGTTTTCTTTATGTAATTCTGAATCTCATGTAAATGAATTTGTAGAATTAATCACTGTGGAAGGAATCCTTTTTGCCCTTCCCAAATGAAGCTCCCACAGGTACAGTTGGGTTGTCCTTCTGGGTTGCTTTAAGGGCACTTTAGCAGTTTTAAAAACTTAAGTACTAATTTCATAGCCAGTGTCAGCTGAATTTATTGAAGTAGGTCAGACTCTGGATAGAAACTTGTTTCTCAACCCTAAAGAGAGTCATTATCCATTCTTCTATTTGTTAGAGAATGGTAATAAATTCTTCCACATTGACCACAAGTCTAGAGCAATTTTAGAAGGCCTAGATAGTGGGATTTTTTTCAGGTGTAGGAAATTACTTGAGATCCTCTCTGACTTTTATTATCCCAGTGGATCAAAAACAAATAAAAACAAAACAAACAAAAAATCAAAATCAACTCTTTTCCCCCCAAAAGAAGCTATATTCAATGGTTGTATTCTTTAAAATAGAAATACACATATGCACGTACACACACACACACACACACACACAAAACCTCAATAAAGATACCATGAAATGCATTCATTGAGAATTACTATTTCTTTTTTCATATTTCTTTTTTCTTTTTTGGACAAGGGTCTCATTTGTTGCCAGGCATAGAGTGAAGTGCACGTGGCGTCAGACACTAGCTATACACAGCAACCCTAAACAATACAGGGCTCAGCAATCCATGCTGCATCAGCTCAACGACGTAGCTGGGACATACGCTGGCCCATCAGGCTAATATTTTATAATGTAATAAATAATAAAAAAAAAACAGTTGGAACCATTAATTTCTTATCTAATTTTAGTAAAGAGACGAGTAATAGCTCTTAGCTCAGAGCATGGTTGACCTCTAGACAATAGACAAACATCATCAAGGATATCCAAGAGCTAAGGTAAGGCGTGACCAGCGCACCGGAACTGAGATTATTTTACTTTTTGTTATTTTGTTTATTTTTTATTTTTTTTGAGACAGAGTCTCACATTTTATGTACCACGAAGAGTGAGTAGCCGTGGCGTCAGCTAGCTCAAGCAACCTCAACATCTGGGTCGAGTGAATCTTACTGCATCAGATACAACGACAGTAGAAACATGGGACTAGACAAGACAAAAAAGCATACGACCAACCAACAAGAATAACAACAAAAAAACGGACATAATTTTATAATAAAATACAAAAAAATAATATATACTTATATCGTCTGGCCATTAATTTCTTTTATTTATAGGAGAGCCGGGGTCTTGCTCTTGCTTCAGCTGGTTTGACTCATGACCTTGAGCATCCGCCCGCCTCGGCCTCCCAAGAGTAGGATTACCACGGGTGAGGCATTCGACCGCTGAGAATTATTTCTTTTAAAATTTTTATTGTGGGCCATTCTCTAAAGTCCTATTCAGTTTAATTAAACAAATTTTTTTTTTTTTTTTTTTTTTTGAGACGAGTCCTCACTTTGTTGCCAGGCTAGATGAGTGCCGTGGCGTCAGCGCTGGCTCACCAGCATCCTCATCTCGGGCCAGCGATCCTCTGCCTCAGCCTCCCGAGTAGCTGGGACTACAGCATCGCAGCCACCATGCCGGCTAATTTTTTTCAATATATTAGTTGAGTCCAATTAATTTGCTTCTATTCTATGTAGTAGAGACGGGCATCGCTATTGCTCAGACTGAGAATTGAAACTCATAGAACACTTAGAGCAAATCCGCCGCCTCCGCCTCCCAAAGGCTAGGATACAGGCGTGAGCCACCGCAGCCGGCACAATGAAAACCTAAAAATTCAAATATATAATAGTATTATATGCCTAGCAATATATTTCCTTTGAGCTCTAGAAAATCAATTTTTCTGTCTATAAGAACTAAAATTCTTATTTGGGTAGTAATTAGGAAATAGTATAGTCATATGACTAAGCATATGATACTAAAAGCATAAGCATTATGAGAAGTAGGTAATTATATCAATATGCTTTTAATTTATAAAGGAAGGTTTCATGGAAAATTTAAGATTTGAGATGATTCTATATTATTTTTTTTTAGAGACGGGGTCTCGCTTGCTCAGGCTGGTTTCGAACTCCTCCGAGATCCGCTGCCTTGGCCTCCCAGAGTGCTAGGATTATAGGCGTGAGCCACCGCACCCAGCCTTGAGATGATTCTTGAAGGCTGGGTATGAGTTGAAAGAAGAAATGTATAGAACAGGGAGTAGTAAGCCACGGAACAGAGGCTTAGAGTTTCAAAGTGCCAGACAGTAACTTGAAGATGTTTTTAGGCAAGAACCAGTATGTGGGCATCATTTTAAAGCAGCCCTGGCATAATTAATTGGTCTATCACCATAAATTAATGTTGCACATCCAGTAAGTGGACAATTAGGAACTCACAAACTCAACTTTTTTTGTTTTTGAGACAGAGTCTCACCCTGTTGCCCGGGCTAGAGTGCCCTGGCGTCAGCCTAGCTCACAGCAACCTCAAACTCCTGGACTCAAGCGATCCTTCTGTCTCAGCCTCCCAAGTAACTGGGACTACAGGCGCGCCAACATGCCCGGTAATTTTTCTATATAATTAGTTGGCATTAATTTCTTTCTATTTTTAGTAGAGACGGGGTCTCGCTCTTGCTCAGGCTGGTTTCAAACTCATGACCTTGAGCGATCCTCCTGCTTTGGCCTCCCAGAGTGCTAGGATTACAGGTGTGAGCCACTGCGTCCAGCCAGAACCCAAGTCTTTTGAACTGAAAATCCTTGCTATGTCACACTGATTATATCAGCTTCCTTGCTATATCACCATTCACTGAGAATCTATTAGGTGCTACTACATCCTGAGAATACAAAGATTACGCCTGTAATCCTAGCACTCTGGGAGGCGAGGCAGGCGGATTGCTCGAGGTCAGGAGTTTCGAAACCAGCCTGAGCAAGAGCGAGACCCCGTCTCTAAAAAAAAATAAATAAGAATCATCTCAAATCTTAAATTTTCCATGAAACCTTCCTTTATAAATTAAAAGCATCCTGAGAATACAAAGATGAGAATTACATTGTTCTTTCTGAGAAACAGGTGTGTGTGTATACAAACACATGTGTATGTATACTGTGGTTAATTTTGTGCCAGTCACTCAATGTTTATATACTATAGAGACATTAATCTACTTTTCCCATGATTATCTCATAGTGGTAGTATCTTCTTGGATAAAGATTCTAGCATTTAAAGAATATTGGTATAATTCAACTATTAATTGCAAGCAATCTACTTAATGTAGTGTTCCCAAACTGGAGAAGAGCTAGGTTACATTTCAGTGAGCAACAATATGTCATTCTTCAATGTGGCACACCTTCCCAATAGATTGAGTATATTTAACTATATGTGATTTTCACCTTACATGCCAGCTTAATAATCTGTGGCTATACTGTAGCTCTTTGAGCTTTCTCACAATTTTGTTGTCAACTATTAATTAGTGAGTGGGTGTTTACTCTTTTCTAAATGGAAATACCTTTATGTCATTTTAAATGATTCAAGGGTAATAACCTACTTTAACCAAGTTGTACAGCATTTCAGAATAGGAGCTGAGAGTGTGGATTATGGAGCCAGTCTGCCTGAGTTCAAATCCAGACTCTGATACTTATTATCTGACCACTGCCTGGAGGGTAATAATAATACCTATTTCATAGGTTCATAGGCTTCTTGTATTTGGCACTTAGTAGACACTGTCACGTGTTAAGTTATTAAAGGTCTGTTATCCCTTATTTGAAAATTTTAAATTAAAATCAAACAATAAACTGACAGATTTCATATAATTCATTTGACCACAAAGTCTGAACTGATTAATGTCTTTGTAATATATAGTCTGATTCTATACTTTGATTCTATACTTTACCTTAAGTTATTTGTATATTAAGTTTGTATAAGACCTTTGTAAAATGCAGGTATTCATTATTATTTTATGATACTTATTGGACAGTATAGTTTCCACATCACTCAGGGGTGCTGGGCACTGGGACATGAGTGTAAGTACACCATCTGTACGGTTCCCAGGCCAACTAGTCAGAGACAACTCAGAGCATTCCTCAGAGCAGCTGGATTCTGCCGCATCTGGATCCCAAATTTCTCCCTTTCTTAATGAAATAAAAATCACTGATATGCTAAAGTACATTGTTGTTTTGTTCTTTTTATCTTTTATCTTAGGTGCTGGAAAACCCCCTATGTTTGGTGATTATGAAGCTCAGAGACATTGGCAAGAAATTACTTTTAATTTACCAATTAAACAATGGTATGGATAATTTTTTTTTTTCAAGACTACTGTGGTGCTCAAAATATGGATAATTTTAACTTGATTTTATTGTTTATCACAATCAGTTAATATATATTGTTTGAAAATATTTAGAAGGAAACATGCTATTTTCTTCATCTTGAGCATCCTCATCTCACTCATACTGATAACATTTATATGCCTAGCATATTGTCAGCCCATCTTTGAAATTTCATAGTGTTACAGCTGGTGGTCCCGAGGACAAACTGAGTGGCACACAGAGAGTCAGAGAATCAAAGTTTATTCACGGGCGGGCTCAAGAGGGTCTCGCCACCAAATTCTGATCCCCTTGTACCCAATTTTTCCCATTTTTATTAAGTTGGGGTGGTCCGAGGGCTGGAGTCTCACGTGGCTAAGGTAATAGGTTAGCTGTTGTGTCAGATAATAGGTTATTATTATGTTGATGCGCCAGGTAATAGATTAGTTGATGGGCCAGGTAATAGATTAGTAGTATGCTGATGTGTGTCTTCTGTGAGGGGCCCTTCTATTACCTGGCCCATCAACTAATAAATTAGTTGATGGGCCAGGTAATAGATTAGTAGTATGCTGATGTGTGTCTTCCCAGTGAGTGATAGCCTCATAAGGCCATTATGTGAGCTGTTGCTCTCGGGGTTACAGTTGTCTCTACAAATTTTATAATTGTTTTTAGTATGTAGGGGCCGGTGATGGTGCCAGTCCAGTATTTATTTCCCCGCTGTGGAGGGGAAGATATTCCGCAAAATGGCAGTGTCCGCAAAATGGCGGTTGGTGCCCGTTCGCTTTGGTCACTGAGGTCACCAGTTGCTGTGCCCATCCCAAACTGGTGGCTTCAAGGGGCCAGCCCGGTCGGTTAGCGTGGTCGGTTAGCGTGGTCGGTTAGCGTGGTCGGTTAGCGTGGTCGGTTAGCGCAGTCGGTTTTCCCAGTCAGGGAACCAAAATGTAACAGCAAATGTTATAGTGGGTGGTCCTGAGGACAAACGGGAGGCACAGGGAGAGTTGGAGAATCAAAAGTTTATTCTGGTAGGCGGGTTCAGAGAGGTCTCGCCAGCAAACTCTGAGCTCCGTCTATCTGATTTTTCTCACTTTTATTAAGTTGAGGTGGTTCCAGGGGTGGGGTATAAGGTGGCTAATGCCCGCCAGGTAATAGGTTAATTTGTGTCAGGTAATAGGTTTAGTGTTATGCTGATGCCCCAAGTAATATGTTAGTTGTTGCTCCAGGTAATAGCTTCTGTGTTTTGCTGATATGCCAAGGCAATAGATTAGTTGATGGGCCAGGTAATAGGTTAGTATTATGCTGATGCAGGTCTTCCATGGGGGGTGGGGGTCTCAGGTGGCTGATGTGCCAAGTAATAGATGGGGGTTTTTCTTATCACTAGTGTGTCAGTTCATTGCGTGACCTCCTCAATGAAGCTTGGTCTGTTGTCACTGTCAAAGGAGAGTGGCAGACCGTGCCTGGGGATGATTTCTCTCAATAGAAGCTTTGCCACTTTCCTACCCTTTTAGGTCTGGGTAGGGACTACCTCGAGCCATCCTGAGAAGGTGCATATCACTACCAGCAGGTATTTATAGCCCCGACATGGTTTTACTTCGGTGAAATCAGTTTCTGTATCTTGAATGGAGAGGTTGCGGTGTACTGAATTCCTGGGGCCTGTCTTGGCCTGGCTGCTGCAGCGTTGGATGGAAGTTTGGCGATGTAGTAGTACCTGGCCCGTAGCTGCCTAAGGGCTGTTTTCCCTAAGTGAGTCAGGTTGTGATGTCTGGAGGCAATAGGGTATGCTAATTTATGGGGATAAAGATGTTATGGTTCTGTAGATGGCATCACCTGTCTGCGTCCTTCTTGGCCTTCTCCTGCTCTGCCCACTGGTTCTCTTCTGGGCTATATTTTGGTTCTTCGGGTCACTTGGGTGCCAACAAGATTTGGCACTGGGTTAGAGTGTTGTCCTCTGAACATTCTTGGCTGACTGCACTTTTGGCAGCTTGGTCTGCTAGACTATTGCTGGTGGCAATTGGATCTGTGCCCTTTTGGTGCCCTCAACAGTGGATGACCACAGTTTCTTTCGGCTCCCAAACAGCCTCCAGCAGTTGGAAGATTTCATCGCTATTTTTGATCTCCTTTCCGCCTACAATCAGCAGTCCCCTCTGCCTGTATAATGCACCGTGGATATGTATTGTGGCAAATGCATACTTAGAGTCTGTGTATACGTTTGTCTTCTTAATCCGGGCATGCCTGAGGGCTTGGATGGGGGCCGTAGCTCCGCCCTTTGTGCCGACCACCCTTAGGGCAAAGGAGCTGACGTGATTACCTCATCAACTGTGGTGACTGCAAAGCCTGCCAGTCGTTTCCCACTCTTGATAAAACTACCGCCATCCATGTGGAGTTCTAAGTCTGGTGCTGGTAGAGCACTGTCTTTCAGATCTGGCCTCTGGCATAGACTTCCTGTACCGCCTCAGTGCAGTCATGGTTCGGGGGCCCTGGCTCAGTGGGTAGGAGGGTGGCAGGACTCAAAGTCCGCACATCTCCAGGGTTACCTGTGGATTTTCACATAGTAGTCCTTGGTATTGTGCTAACTGGTTGCTTGAGAGCCACTGGTGCCCTGAGGTGTTCATTAGAGATATTACTGTATGAGAGACTCGCACACGGAGGTTTTGTCCCAGAGTGAGTTTGCCTGCTTCCTTGACTAGCAGGATGGTGGCGGCCTTAGCGCAGAGGCAAGGTGGCTACCCTGCCGCTACCGGATCCAATTGTTTTGACAAGTAAGCCACTGGTCCCTGCCACAGGCCCACGGTTTGAGTCAAAACTCCAGAGCCACTTGTTTTTTCTCGTGTATAAAGAGGTTGAAGTTTTTGGTGAGGTCTAATAGCCCTAGTGCGGGGACTCTTTTTAATAAGTCTTATTTTCTGGAAAGCCCTTTTCTGACTCTCAGCCCATTCCAATTCTTTATTTTGAGGCCCACACAGGGTCTCGTACAGAGGCTTGGCCTTTAGGGAGAAATTTGGGATCTAGATGCGGCAGAATCCAGCTGCTCTGAGGAATGCTCTGAGTTGTCTCTGACTAGTTGGCCTGGGAATCGTACAGATGGTGTACTTACACTCATGTCCCAGTGTCCAGCACCCCTGAGCGATGTGGAAACCTAGGTACTTCACCTGTTGCCTGCAGATCTTTTTTTTTTTTTTTTCCGGCATATTATGGGGATACAAATTTTAAGGTTTCAATAAATGCCCTTTCCCCCCTCTCCCCACAAGTCTGAGTGCCTGCAGATCTTTTCCCAGGAGACTTTGTGTCCTTTGTCAGTGAGCAATTGGAGCAGGCACATGGTTCCCCGGTAGCAGTCTTCTCTGGTTGGGTTTGCTAGGAGGAGACCATTGACATACTGTAGAAGTGCAGCGGGTTTCTTCTCACGGAAAGGAGATGAGGTCAGTAGCTAGAGCTTCCCCGAATGGAGTTGGTGAATTTTTATTTATTTATTTTTTATTTTCATTTTTTGGAGACAGAGTCTCACTCAGTTGCCTGGGCTAGAGTACCGTGGCATCAGCCTAGCTCACAGCAACCTCAAACTCCTGGTCTCAAGTGATCCTCCTGCCTCAGCCTCCCAAGTAGCTGGGACTACAGGCATGCGCCACTATGCCTGGCTAATTTTTTCTATATATTTTTAGTTGGCCAATTAATTTCTCTCTATTTTTAGTAGAGACGGGGTCTTGCTCTTGTTCAGGCTGGTTTCTAACTCCTGACCTTGAGCGATCCACCTGCCTCGGCCTCCCAGAGTGCTAGGATTATAGGTGTGAGCCACTGCGCCCGGCCGAGTTGGTGAATTTTTAAATCTTTGTGGTAGCTGTGTTCAGTTCAGCTGGGACCCCGTGGAGGAGAGCATCCCGATACCTTCCAAGTGCCTCTAGTACGCTGTGGGAGTTGAAATCCCAATCTGGGTTGGTCTCGGACGCTGCTCTCTGTGCCCATTGCTCCACGTCCAAGGTTCTTGCTGGAGCCTGGTCCTGGAGCCGCCTCTGGGTCCCAGCTACAATCTGCCGTTGTTCTTCCGTGTTACAAAGAGTCAGAAGGATCTGGCGGCAGTCTTCCTAAATGGGATGGTGGGTCTGAAAGATGGATTCCAGAAGGTCAACGAGGGCCTGAGGTTTTTTGGAGTATGGAGGAGTGTGGTGCGTCCATTTCAGAAGTTCAGTGGTGGAGAAGGGCTGGTAGTATAGGACTGGCTGACCTGGCTGAACAGACCCACCATCTGTAATCTGCATCGGACCTCGCACCTCACACAGGGGCTTCTGGAGGGCTGAAGTTGGGGCCTGAGCTGACCTTAGCTGGTAGGTGATGGGAGTGTCGGCACCCAATTGGTCTGGAACTGGTGGCGGGGTGTCTGGTGGATTTGGGGGTACTTCAGGAGGTGTCATGGTAGGGTTGTAGGGCAGTGATAGTGGATCCTCTTCAGGAGCCTCCTGATAGATGGGCTTGGACAGTTTGGAGTCTCTGGTCCTTTGGACCACAAAAATCCTGCTCTGTCCCTTATTAGCACAGAACCAGACCCAAGGGGGCACGATGTGAGCAATCTCTAGCCATGAATCTATGTAAGGGAATTGGTTGGGATGGCCAGGAGTCCCTGCCACGATTCCCCAAACTGCTCACACTGTGAAGAGGTCTCAGGTTCCTGTTGCGGGCCAGTCAACCCTGAATGTGGGCCATTTGTATTCACAGAAGGTCCTAAGTCTACTGGGTCTCAATGTGACACCGTAACTGTGAAAGCCTTCTTAAAGTTCTTTAACATGCATTTAAAGACCTTAGGCTTAGAGTCTACACTACCTATCCTAGACCCTTGGACGGTTTCGCAGCTTAACAGACAAAGTGGGGGAGGTTTTTCTCAGGCATGTGCCTGATTGCGTCCCCCTCGGGAACTTAGGCACATCTTGACGAAGGTGTACCCGTATAAACCGTGGGCGTTGTCGTTCCCTTTAGGGGAGTGAATCACCCTTTTATAAATTTTATTTTATTATTTATTTTTATTTTTTTGAGACAGAGTCTCGCTTTGTTGCCCAGGCTAGAGTGAGTGTTGTGGCGTCAGCTTAGCTCACAACAACCTCAAACTCCTGGGCTCAAGCAATCCTCCTGCGTCAGCCTCCCCAGTAGCTGGGACTACAGGCATTTGCCACCATGCCCGGCTAATTTTTTCTATATATATAGAAAAAATATATATATTGGCCAATTAATTTCTTTCTATTTCTAGTACAGACAGGGTCTCGCTCTTGCTCAGGCTGGTTTCAAACTCCTGACCTCGAGCAATCCGCTCGCCTCAGCCTCCCAGAGTGCTAGGATTACAGGCGTGAGCCATGGCGCCTGGCCTGAATCACCCTATGGCGTAGGACATTGTGGCAGAACCGCAGGTGAAGACCCACTCAAGTTCCGTAGCCGTAGCTGTGGAACCACAGTCCCTCTTCACTCACTCTTCACTCTCTCATTCAGACAGGCAGGAGTCACACATTCCCACCCTGGGAATTCCCTGCTCTTAGGAGGTGATCTAGCTCCTCTTTTGCCATCTGAGGGACCTGACTCAGGCGGGTCCAGGAACCTTACCTGGTCTGATGCCTCCAGACCTGATTTGACTTGTCCTTCCCTCCGGCGTGTCCGGGGAGTTCGGGACCGGGGGCTGGTGGGAGCTCCCGAGGAGCAAAGATATTCTGCAGAATGGTGATTGGCGCCGGTTCTGTTCTGTTGCCGAGTTCCCAACAGTCGAGTTCCTGACAGTCGCTGTGCTTGTTCCCCAACCCACAACCGGTGGCTTCAAGGGGCCAACACCGCGGTTGGTTTTCTGTGTCAGGGAACCAAAATGTAACAGCAAGTGTTACAGCAGGTGGTACTGAGGACAAACTGAGTGGCACACGGAGAGTCAGAGAATCAAAAGTTTATTCTGGTTGGCAGGCTCAGAGGGGCCTCTCCAGCAAATTCTGAGCACTGTCTACCAGATTTTTCCCATTTTTATTAAGCTGTAGTCTGAGGGGTGGGGTGTCAGGTTGCTAATGCCCGCCAGGTAATGTTAGTATTATGTTGAAGAACCAGGCAATAGCTTTAGTGTTATGCTGATACCAGGCATTAGACTAGTTGATGGACCAGGTAACAGGTTAGTATTATGCTGATGCGGGTCTTCCTGAGGGGTAGGGGTCTCTGGTGCCTGATGTGCCAAGTAATAGATGGGGGTTTCCCTTATCATCTCTACCAAAATAAAAAAAAATTAGCCAAGCATTGTAGCACATGCCTGAAGTCCCAGTTATTCAGGTGGCTCAGGCAGGAGGATCTCTTGAGCTCAGGAGTTTAAGTTTTAGTGAGCTATGAGGACGCCTGGGTGAGAGAGTTAGACTCTGTCTCAAAAAGATAAAAAGTCTGCTTGAATATCAATTAATGGAATGGTGCTTTCTTTTTTTTTTTCAGGTATTTTAACAGCAGTGATAACAATTTACAGTATTGGGGATTGGATTACCCACCTCTAACAGCTTATCACAGTTTCTTATGTGCATATGTGTAAGTTTTTCTTCTTATTGTAACTCTGAATATTATTCTCTTTGCAGATAAAGAACCAGTGTGATTGGGCATTCTTGAATAGAAAAGAGATTGCTCATAGCTGCTCTTGTAATTATGTATTATAAATGGGTTGTGAGAGTTTGAACATTTGTATAATTTCTTTGGAGGACAATCTAGAAAGAAATACAAAAACCTACCTTTGTTTTGAAGTAGAGATGTTACCAGTCATGGATGGACTACTGAGATCTTATATGGGTTAGTTGTATGTAGGAAAGCCTTTTTCTGGCATGGCCCAAAGTAAATGAAAAATATAGGTCCAAATGGTATTCTAACTAATCTGTCAAGTTAGAAACTAGAATTATTGTATTAATAGTGTTTCACTTATGATTAACATTCAGGGATAGAATTTCTCTTCCTTTTAAAGAAATTGAATAGTTTATAGAAGAAGAGAAACTTGTATTTTAGTAGAGACCCAGTTCTACTCTGTAATGGGATTCCATCTCATACTTGAAGAAGTGTGTCAGCAAAAATTTGAGGAACTTTTTCATAGTATCTCCTGAACTCATCTTCCTTGTTTAATTATTTCTACTTTCACCACACCATGTATCACTTAATGATGGTGATACATTCTGAGAAATGTGTTGTTAGGTGATTTTGTGGTCATGTGAACATCATAGAGTGTACTTACAAAAACCTAGATGTGGCCGGGCACAGTGGCTCGAGCCTGTAATCCTAGCACTCTGGGAGGCCACGGCAGGCAGATCGCTCAAGGTCAGGAGTTCAAAACCAGTCTGAGCAAGAGTGAGAGCCCATCTCTATTAAAAATAGAAAGAAATTAACTGGACAACTAAAAACATACATGGAAAAATGTTAGCCAGGCATGGTGGCACATGCCTGTAGTCCCAGCTACTTGGGAGGCTGAGACAGAAGGATTGCTTGAGCCCAGCAGTTTGAGGTTGCTGTGAGGTAGGCCGACGCCACGGCACTCTAGCCCTGGCAGCACAGTGAGACTCTGTCTCAAAAAAAAAAAAAAGCCTCAAAAACCTAGATGTATATGGCCTATTACACACCTAGGCTATATGGTGTAACCTATTGCTCCTAGGCTACAAACCTATACACCATGTTACTGTACTGAATACTATAGGAAATTGTAACAATGATAAATATTTGTGTATTTAAACATAGATAAACATAGAAAAGGTACAGTCAAAATACAGTGTTATATTCTTATGGGATTATAGTCATGTGGTCCAATGTTGACTGAAGCATTATTATGCAGCATATGAGTATATTTCATAGTTTATAAAAATAAGCTTCATGGGCCGGGCGCGGTGGCTCACGCCTGTAATCCTAGCACTCTGGGAGGCCGAGGCGGGCAGATTGCTCAAGGTCAGGAGTTCAAAACCAGTCTGAGCAAGAGTGAGAGCCCATCTCTACTAAAAATAGAAAGAAATTAACTGGACAACTAAAAACATACATGGAAAATGTTAGCCAGGCATGGTGGCACATGCCTGTAGTCCCAGCTACTTGGGAGGCTGAGACAGAAGGATTGCTTGAGCCCAGCAGTTTGAGGTTGCTGTGAGGTAGGCCGACGCCACGGCACTCTAGCCCTGGCAGCACAGTGAGACTCTGTCTCAAAAAAAAAAAAAAGCCTCAAAAACCTAGATGTATATGGCCTATTACACACCTAGGCTATATGGTGTAACCTGTTGCTCCTAGGCTACAAACCTATACACCATGTTACTGTACTGAATACTATAGGAAATTGTAACAATGATAAATATTTGTGTATTTAAACATAGATAAACATAGAAAAGGTACAGTCAAAATACAGTGTTATATTCTTATGGGATTATAGTCATGTGGTCCAATGTTGACTGAAGCATTATTATGCAGCATATGAGTATATTTCATAGTTTATAAAAATAAGCTTCATGGATTGAAATAAGCTTCCAAACATCATGATAATCAGTTATACTTTATAGTGTTTGGGGTAATATAATATGATTGAAAATTTACTTTATCTTTAACAATTATGTTTAGTTTTATGCAATGATTTATGATTAATAGCTATTCATTATAGCCAATTGTTATGATAACTGAAAAGATTGTAAATCATAAAACATGATCCTCTGCTCAATACTAGCATATTGTTCTTTATAAAGTATGTGTTTAATAAATGAAATGTGAGACACCAGATTGTTTTTTACACTGGTAGAATTGTGAAGGTAGGGTTTGTAGTTACACATTACATGGTTTGTTGGAAGATGAGCAAGAAAGATGCTGTTTCATAGCTTAAGTCAGTTCCACATGATTAAATAAAAAGAATAAAGCTTAAGCATTGACTCTATCACTTTATATATAAGAGCAATGGACAATTCTCAAAATAAATGCATATGTCCTCAAATGTCCTTATAGCTAAAAGTAATGAGGAATAAAGTACATGTATATATGCTTTGATTTGCAGGGCAAAGTTTATAAATCAAGACTGGATTGCTCTTCATACATCTCGTGGATATGAGAGTCAGGCACACAAACTCTTCATGCGTGCAACAGGTAAAAGGGCAATAGGTATTGAGGGTAAAATTTGATTTTAAAAAATTTTGGATAAACTGATAAAAGTTACTATTTATTGTTTTTACTGACTTTAAAATTTTAAGCCAGTGCGGTGGCTCACGCCTGTAAGCCTAGCACTCTGGGAGGCCGAGGGGGGTGGTGGATCGCTCAAGGTCAGGAGTTCAATACCAGCTGAGCAAGAGCAAGACCCTGTCCCTACTAAAAATAGAAAGAAATTAATTGGCCAACTAAAAATATATAGAAAAAATTAGCCGGGCATGGTGGCGCATGCCTGCTAGTCCCAGCTACTTGGGAGGCTGAGGCAGAGGATTGCTTGAGCCAGAGTTTGAGGTTGCTGTGAGCTAGGCTGACGCCAGGGCACTCACTCTAGCCTGGCCAATAGAGTGAGACTCTGTCTCAAAAAAAAAAAAAAATTATACCTACACATACACATATATAAGACCAAATGTTTATGTAAGCAGAAAAAAAAGAGTAGAGAGGAATAATTCTGGGTGTTTTTAATTTTTATCTCACTTAATTCTTTGAACACCCAAATGAGGTAAATCCTTATATATATTTATCCTTATAATGCTTAATTTAAGATAAGGAAACTAAGGCATAGTTAAATGAGGCCAATAGCTTAGCCGAGGTCAGACAGCTATAAATTGAAGTTTTGGTTGTTGAGGCTGCTGCTTTAATATTCTCATTCCAAATCCCTTTCACTTTTTTTTTTTAAAGTAGACTTTACAATTGTGTCTCATACATTGTATTGTTGTGCATTGTTGCTAAATTAAACAATCCACTCAACAAATGTTTATTGAGCATCTATATGTGCTGTTCTGGGAGCTTGAATGTAATAAGCTTAGATTTCTTTAAAAGCTTTATATGACTCAGACTTTAATGCTAGCTCAGGCCTTCTCCTTTTTTTTAAATTTCAAAATATTAAGGGGGTACAAATATTTTTGTTACATGGCTATCTTTTATAATGCTTAAGTGAGGGCTATTCTTGTGCCCATCACCCGAATAGTGTTCGTTGTACCTGATAGGTAGGTTTTTGCCCCTCTTCCCTTCCCCTCCCTGCTTCTTGATTTCCAATGACCTTTACTTCTCTCTGTGCCCATGGGGGCCCACTGATTAGTACCAAATTATTAGAGAGTACATGTGGTGTTCGTTTTTCCATTCTTGAGCTACTTCACTTAGGATAATGATCTCTAGTTCCATCCAAGTTGTTGCAGCTCAGACCTTTTCCTTAATTAGTCTAAATTTAGCCAGAGTTTGTTCTCTCTACCGTTCATCCAGTTGTGGAATCTCAGGCCCAAGAGATGGTTTATGTTGCCTGGCTTTCCTTCTCCCACATCACTCCCCTTACCCCTCCAAAGCTTTAATCATTCCTGTACTGCACAGTCAGCATGTGATTATTCAGCTTCTGAACTAATACCTATATTTGCAGGAAACTCACAACATTTAGAGATGACAGACTATTTTTTTTTCAGAGATCCCCCATCATCAAAAATTACCTTTTTATGTTGAACTTTCACCAGTCATTCCAGGTTTTGTTTCCTTGTGTTACAGAGAACAAATCTGATCCCTAATATACCTAATATATTACAAGCATTTGAGGTCACTTCTTCTCTAGGTTAAAAATTCCTAGATACTTTAGTTATTCCATAGAATTGGATGACCAGTTTGTTGAATGTGATTAAGGTTTTGAGGCCTCTGTTCCAGCACTCCTTTGGGTACGTTCCTGTTTGTCAGTGTCATCTTAAATGTGGCATCAGGGCTCAGGCGTGGTGGCTCATGGCTGTAATCCTACGCGACTCCTGGGGAGGCGAGCGTGGGCAGATGGCCTCGAAGTCAGGAGTTCAGACCAGCCTGAACAAGGAGCCAAAGCACCCTGTCCTTTCATAAGAATTACGAAGAAATTAATTGGCCAACGCTAATATCATCACTAGAAAAACTCTAGCCAGGCAAGGTGGTCCGATGCCTATACCGTCCAGCACCCTCGGGAGGGCTCGGACGCAGAGAGGATTCACTTGACCCAGGAGTTTGCAGGTTGCTGTGGAGCCCTAGGCTGACGCGCGCACTCACTCCAGCCTGGGGCAAAGCAGAGACTCTGTCTCAACAAAAAGAAAAAAAAGTGGCATCAGGAGTTGAACATAAGATAGACTTCGTAGGCATCTTACACTCGACGAGTTTACTATCAACTTACTTTTTCATAGACCCACGTAGTATTTAGTGACGGTACAAAAAAATTGTCTATGTGGCTGGCTATGTTGTACATTTAGAGAACCTAATATCTTTTCGGTTCTCGTCGGTCTTTTTTTGTCCTGAACTGCACACTCTTAGATTCAGCTAAACTTCACTATCTTTTATGTTTTTTTCATTTTTGTCTAACTCACCCCCCCTGCACCTCTCTCAAACTCTTTATACATGCATTACACTTAGAGTAAAACTTTACATTTTTTCTAAAAGATTCAACAATTTCTAAAAACGATTCTCCTCGTTGCATTGCACATTCTGAGTTATCTCTTCATAGCAGAAAATTTGGAGTATACAGATTTTGAAGAAAAAATAGTCTTCCCTCATTTTGAATATTCTTAATTTCTTCTTTTGCCTTGTAATCAGTATATTAAGGAGACATTCATTCATTTGAAGAATTGCTTAAAATTTTTTTTTTTTTTTTGAGAGAGTCTTACTCTGCGTTGCCGGGCTAGAGTGCCGTGCATCAGCTTAGCTCACAGCACCCCTTCAACCCTGGGATCAAGCAATCTTCTGCTCAGCTCGCCGAAGTGGCTGGCTACAGCATGTGCCCATGCCTGGCTCAATTTTTCTATATAGGCCATTCTTTAGTTGTCCAGCAAATTTTTTTCAATTTTTAGTAGAGATGGGGTCTTGATCTTGCTCAGGCTGGTTTCGAACTCCTGACCTTTAGCGATCCACCTGCCTTGGCCTCCCAGAGTGCTAGGATTACAGGCGTGAGCCACCACGCCTGGCCAAGAATTGTTTAAATTCTGATATCCATATTTAAGCATGTGAACTTATGAAACTTTTAAACATACAAGTAAAGCTTCTCATCATAATTTGCTGTACTACCAACATTAAATTACAGTTACATTGGAGCATAAGTCAAATGGTTTAAAGTAAGCCTGTAATATACCTAAAAAATACCTTCCTATATTATATTACATGCAAATTACTTCATGTAAAGGTCTCTTTACTTTAAATCACCTGCCTGGCCTCCCCAGAGGTGCTAGGATTACAGGCGTGAGCCACCACGCGCTGGCCAAGAATTGTTTAAATTCTGATATCCATATTTGAAGCATGTGAACTTATGAAACTTTTAAACATACAAGTAAAGCTTCTCATCATAATTTGCTGTACTACCAACCATTACCGAGTTACCATTGGAGCATAAGTCAAATGGTTTAAAGTAGCCTGTAATATACCTAAAAAATACTTCCTATATTATATTACATGCAAATTACTTCATGTAAAGGTCTCTTTACTTTAAGTTAAAGTTATCCAGCTCTGGAGATCACTTCTTAGGGACTTGTCATGGTCCAAAGAGAAAGGGGCAAAAAACCAGGATTGGTCAAGATTACATATATATGTAAACACATATATATCTGCTGTGCCATCCACATATATATATTTATATAGCCATCCATATAAATACAAGAAAGGTGGCAGAGCAGAAGGTAATGCAATTCTAGAAGTACAAGCTCTCAAGAAGCAGCATATTATGATTAAACCCCTTCTTTAGAAAGGTATCATTTCTATCACTGATAACACAGACTAAATTATATATTATGCCATCTTCAACTAACAGTTAAGGTAATAGTGAATATTCTTAATTTTTAAGCTCAAGTCAGAGCAAAGAGAGAATGTTGGATTCTAATCAATTAAATGTATAAATTTGTTAGAGAAAATTAAGAGACTCCTTTGTAACATAGTAATTAAAATTAGGCACAGGTGAAAGGAATGAAAAGGACTAATTGTATGAATGAATGAAAAGGACTAATTGACGTGCCCATAGTGGGGTAGGAACCTTGTCTTAATAGAATTCTCAAGCAAGGTTAGAGGAAGGGAGGCAGTTTATGGGTGGTTGTAGATCCTGATGGACTCATGGTGAAAATTATTTACTTGTTTTTTCAGTTTTAATTGCTGATTTGCTGATTTACATACCTGCAGTGGTTTTGTACTGTTGTTGTTTAAAAGAAATCTCCACTAAGAAAAAGGTAAGTTTTAAAGCAACTATTTTCTTTCTTTTTTCTTTTTTTATTTTGAGGCAGAGTCTCACTCTGTTGCCTGGGCTAGAGTGAGGTGGGTTCAGCCTAACTCACAGCAACTTCAAACTCAAGTTTGAAGGATTGCTCAAGCAATCCTTCTGTCTCAGCCTCCTGAGTAGCTGGGACTACAGGCATGCGCCACCATGCCTGGCTAATTTTTTCTATATATTTTTAGTTGGCCAATTAATTTCTTTCTATTTTAGTAGAGACGGGTCTCACTCTTGCTCAGGCTGGTTTTGAATCCTTTACCTTGGGTGATCCGC